ATAATGAGTAGATGATTTTGATTTAGTCTTGGCACACATGTCCATAAGCCTCTTATGATTATTAATGCATATTTTCAAAGTTGAATCTAAAGATGAAATACTATTTTTCATAAGATTCAAATCTTCATTTTTAGGCACATATGCATTTTTAGAAGTAGAACATAAATAGTTATTTATAAAAGAAGCTGTATCATTCTTTATGTTCTCTACTTCTAACATGGCATCAATCTTAGCATGAGATAAGCTAGAAATGGATGATGATAATTTCTCATTTTCCAATTTTAACATATCATTACTTTCTTTAAGAGCAACATTTTCTTTGGAAATGATATCAAAATTGGAAGCTAGCTTCTCATGATCGGATATAAGTTCTACATGCTTGCTTTGTAAATTAATGAAATCATTTTGCAATTTGTTAAAGGCATGCAATAATTTTTCACTAGCACACGCAAGTTCATCACTAGATAAATCATTAGTTGTTTCGAACTCGCAAACCTCACTAGGGCTATCGCCTAGTGCACGTGTGCATGACGCTCCACATGAACTTGAAGCCGGATCCGCCAAAGCTTGTTGGATCGCCTCCAAGTCCCCTTGATGTGCTTCAATAAATTTCCATAAGGTGTAAGCACTATCAAAAGAATCAAGCTTGTTAGACATAAATGAATCAAATGCATTTAATAAAAATTCTAACATAAGCTTGTTCATAATAAACATCTTTTTATCATGTTTGCTCCACTTGGATTTCTCCAACGTGGGCACAATATAAGCACAATCAATGATTTCCCATAAATCGATATTTTTAGATTGAACAAATATTTTGAATCTAAAACACCATTGAGCATAAGGGAAAGCATTGAATTTAGGAGCAATACTAGAATCATAGCCTAAACAAGATGCATCATTCATATCCATAATTTGTAAAAATATGCAAGCAAGATACAAATGCAATCAAAACAAGATTAGCACAAAAAGATAACTTGGATCTTTAACTCAAGGCGATTAGACCTTAAATCAAAGAGCACCAAGCTCTGATACCAATTGTTAGACCCTAGAGGGGGGGTGATTAGGGTCTTATGCTAATCTAATCCGATTAAATGCCAATTAAAAATAATTAACAAGTTGTATTCTTGCAAGTAGGTATACAATCTATTATGGGCAAGAATATGCAATATACACAAAGTGATATATCCTATATGATGAAATATATATGCAAGGATATATAAACTAACACAAGGGGTAAACAATATGAACTAGATAGTGGATCATATAAATAAAGAGCTAATGACAATGGCGACAAGAATTATAAACACAAGTATAAATAAACGCCAAAGCACACTCAAACACAAGATATGATCACGGAGTTCGGACCTTCCGTCCTACGTCTCCGCTCCCCACTCCCGGGGAGAAATCCACTATCACAACCGGGTTTTCTACGCTCACCCGAATAACGTTTACACCTCACAGTGTCGGTTTTCAACGCTCACCGAACAACGTTCACTCCTCACACTCGGTTTTCTAGTTCACCGAAAACTTCACAACACACTCGGTTTCTAGCTCACCGAAAACCTAACAATCTCACAATGTAACAAATATAAATTGTTCTCTAATATGGATGAGAACACAATAAAAGCCCACACTCAATGTTACAACTCTCACAACCCTAATATATTATGAATGCAAATACAATAAGCTCAAAGTGGGTGTGTGTAACAATGAGTGAAATCAAAACCAAATCTAAACTCAATATAAAACTAGCTTTAATAGAAATGATAATTGACAAATAACAAATGAAAGCTAGAGTAGAGTTTAGAAAACTTCTCAATGGAAGACAAGATGGAGAGATGGAGATTGGAGCCCAAACAAGAAGATGATCTCCTCCACTTGTGAAAACTTCTTCACAAACAAAAACAAACCCTTAAACACACTTAAACCCTTGTTTAAAACTTGTTTAAAAACTTCTTAGATAGTTTGGGGACCGCTTTGCTCCAATACCTTAAGAGCTTAAACTGTGTATACTCCAGCAAACGTACGAGTATAAACTGTGTTAATGGCGATCCGTAAACCCTAGGGTCAACGCCGGTCAACGCGTAACCCCAGGTCAACGCCAAGCAACGCGTTGCGACAAAAGTCAACGTTCGACGATTCAAACCCTAAGGGTAACGTTCGACGATTTGAAACCCTAGGGTGGACGCCGGTCAACGCGTAGCCCTAGGTCAACGCCAAGCAACGCGTTGCAAACGAAAGTCAACGTTCGACGATCCGAAACCCTAGGGTGGACGCCGGTCAACGCGTAACCTTAGGTCAACGCCGGACAGCGCGTTGCGACAAAAAGTCAACCCCCAGTGATTCAGAACCCTAAGCCAGCACAATGTGGCGGAGGTAGTTCAAAGTCAACTCAATGACACGAGCCAAACTCAATTCATCAGCTGCAGACTCGAGACTCCGACGACGGCCAGACGATAAACGCAGCGCCGGAAGAACCTCGGCTATTCGTCAAAGCATCGGATAGATCGAAAATCGAAAGAGTCAAGAGTTGAAGCTAACTACGCCGACTGAAGGCCAGATCAATCACATCCAAAGTATTCCAGCCTCTTCTATAAAAGAAACGAGTCAGGAACACTTTGGAGGGGGTATCTGTAGGCATCAAAAATTGCCTATAAGTTCTCCACAACCAGTTCAGTGTTAACGAGCGACGATGAACGTCACCATCCAATCCACATGAGCCTAATCGACGTCGACGAACGACCGAAGTGAATCGACGAGTTACGTGACACCAGAGCGGATCGAACTCTTCGTCAAGCATCCAACGCACCCGGAATCACTCAAATCCGAGTACGGACGAAGAATCTACAGGGGAAACAACTGAAATACACCTAAACGGAGTCCCGGCGTGGCGAAACACCCCGGGGGTGTCTAGGAAAAGCCTAGACACCCCAGGGGTGTCTCGGCCAAGCCGAGACACCCTAGGGTGTCTCGGCCATGGCCGAGACACCAGGGGGTGTCCACACCCCCTAGTGGTCCCTAGACCCCCCTACACACCTCCATATGCCTATGCCTTGCTTTTGAGGGGAGGATTTTTGGAGAGCCTTGGCGAAGCCCTGCTGCAGCAAAGAGTCATCGAGCGCTTCAACCGAGGAAGAGAGGTCGGCATCAGCCTTCATCACCCTTTTCCCCCCTCTTTCCTTAGTATCGGCCTTTAGCGTTGATACTAAGAAGAGCTATTACCTCGTTTTAGCCGAGGTATACGCTTATACCTTCTAGATCTCACGCGGATCGACGAAGCTCTGTCCGATATTTCTGGACTGGAAGTTTCTAGATCTCACGCGGATCGACGAAACTCTGTCCAATTTATCCGGACCGGATCTGATTGCCCCGGTGGTCCACGGATATCAACATCCCCGTCACAGGCCAAAGACCCACGCAAGCGAGACCGCACCAAAACGGGATCTCGTGTTTATTTTCGAAAAGTTGTAATCTTTGTTTTGTTGCACAAGGAGGTCTTATAAAAAGACTGACTTTTTTTATCGATTCTTGTTGTAACGTTTGAAGTTGTAACAGATTTCGAAAGCAATGAAAACAGCGACTTTCACCGAAAACATGACAGAAAACTGAAAACTATTTTTCTGATTTTAAAACGCTGTTTAAAAATATCAAATAAATTCCAAAAAATATAAAACTTTGGGGAATGATTGTAGACATGATAATAAACATGCTACAGCGACTGGTTATCAGAAAGGACCTCCCAAATGAAAAATATCATCATTTTACAAAATAGTCCAAAACATGAAAATATGAGATACTTGAATTTTGATGTTTTGATTAAACAACATTTTGAAACCTTATGAAATGATTGTATAGACTTGATAAAAGATATAACATGTTGTTATGAAGTCTATAACCTAGAAATACAATATTTTCATAAAATTGCATATTCTATGCAATATATTCAAAACACTAAATATGATTTCATTAAATATAAGCTTGTTAAAGGTGAAATCATATATAGGCATATAAACATGAAACAAAATAGTATTTTCCAATTCTATTCATTTGTTTCATAGTAAAACTTGAAAACTATCAAACCAAAACATATATGTATATATATAACTATATATATACAAAAACCAAAACGTGTATGTGTGTATATGATTGAGCTTAAAGTACTAACACACATAATATAAATTCCTAAACTAAATTACCCAAGCAATGATCTTGATCTTCAATAAGCTTGACTTGGTAATCTCGCGGATGAAGCTTGAACTTGGATCTTGAACTTGGAATAGCAAGGCTTCACCGACATTCCGCCAACCTCCTTTGGATATGATCGTTGAAGCGCAATCCATCCATCCTCCAACAACATTGTTTGTCTACAATAAATAAGAAAACACAAATACTAGACAAACAACATTAGAAGTAAATTGTTTGTTAAACATCATCAAAACAAGAAGGCCAACAGCTCTGGGCGTAACGACAAGGGCGGTGTCTTGGCGCTGGAGGCACGCCTGGTGGTTTGGTGGTGTTGGATATGATGAATGAGAAAGAGAGGCGGAAGTGTTGAGTGGTGGAATCAAAGTTGGGGAGGGAAGTGGTTTTGGGGAAGTAGTTAGTCGGCGATTTTGATGGTGAAGGATGAAAGAGGACGGTGGTTTGGGGTGGTGAAGGGATTTGGCCACGGGTGTGGTGGATGCCTTCCCAGGGTGTGGTAGACTCTGGAAATGAGATGAAGACTGTCCCGACTGCTACACGGGTGTGTTGGTGGACACGGCCTAGCCGTGTCAACTGTGTATTCAATATTTTTCCTTCTGTCCTCTTTAGCCTTGAACTCTCTGTTACCTATTTTCCTTTTGTCATTCACCTACACACCAGTTCACGGAAACTTGATTACATGTCATGAAAACTAATAAATTAAAATACTAAAAGGAAAAATAAAATGAAAGAAAAACTTGGGTTGCCTCCCAAGAAGCGCTTGTTTATGGTCATGAGCTCGACCCCTTCAATGCTCACAATGATGATGAATCGGGAAGGGTAAAAGTACCCAACTTCTCGATCAGAGTTCCTGTGAAATAATGCTTTAATCGCTGTCCATTGACCTTGAAAGATCTCGTGGCTTTACTCCATACTTCGACATCCCCAAATGGGTATCTCTTGCGCACTTGGAATGGTCCAGACCACCTCGAACAAAGTTTGCCCGGAAAAAGCTTGAGTCGGGAATTAAGTAGAAGTATCAAGTCTCCTTCTGTAAACTCTTTACGGAGGATATGTTGATCATGCCACTTCATTGTTCTTTCTTTGTAAATCTTGGCATTCTCATACGCATCCAATCTCAATTCATCAAGTTCATTTGGTTGAAGCTTTCTCTGTTCCCCTGATTCTTTCAAATCTAAATGAATGCTCTTGATAGCCCAATGTGCCTTATGTTCCCCTTCAACTGGTGGAGATGGACTGGTTCTAGACTTCTTCTCCTGCTTTTTGACACGACTGTGTCTATGGACACACCATGGCCGTGTGGAATCATTATTCAGCATCTTCCCAGGTGCAGTTTTCTCTTCACAAACCTATTCTGGGCTTTTTCTGTTGCTTTTTGACACAGTTGTGTTTACAGACACAACCTGGTCATTCAGCCCCCTTGCAATTTCGACCACTATATCAGGTTCTTTGATGTAGGTGGTTTTGGTGTAGGTTGGCTTTTCATCAAGCATTGTAACATAGAAAGTTATTTCCTGATCATCATCATCTGGTACCCCATTCTTTACTAAACATTTCTCAAGTGGATCACTTGAGATATCTCTGGTAAAATCTTCTCTAACCACCATGTCAATCGTGTCAATCCTGCAACAAGTATCATCAATTAGTGGAAACTTCATAGCAGAAAACAAATCAAAATTCACCTTTTCATCCCCTATATTGAGAGAGAGCTTTCCATTCTTCACATCAATTATCGCTCCAGCGGTAGCAAGGAAAGGTCTTCCCAATATAATGGGGATTTGAGAATCCTCCTCCATTTCAAGAATAACAAAATCAACTGGAATAAAGAATTTACCAACCTGGATGGGTACATCCTCTAATATACCTACCGGATGTTTAACCGATCGATCCGCCAATTGGAGGGAGATAGTAGTGGGCTTCAAGTCTCCCATCTGCAACTTGTTACATATAGACAATGGCATAAGACTGACACTAGCACCGAGATCACATAGAGCACGATTAATTGACATATCACCAATTGTGCAAGGGATTGAAAATGAGCCAGGATCTTTAAGCTTAGGTGGTAGTTTATTTTGTATGATGTCGCTACACTCTTGGGTCAAGGCTACAGTCTCATATTCCTCTAATCGCCTCTTATTTGATAGAATCTCCTTTAGGAATTTGGTATAGGATGGCATTTGGGAAATGGCTTCAACAAATGGGATGTTAATATGCAATTTTTTAAGGATTTCTATGAATTTCCCAAACTGTTTTTCCAACTTAGCTTTAACTTGCCTTTGAGGGAAGGGTAGTGGAGGTTTATAAGGTGCAGGTGCTACATATCTCTCAACTTTCTCACTACTGTGCTCTTTCTCACTTGACACTAACTTCTCATTCTCATCAACCACATCCTTATGGTCATTCCTCATCATTGGTCCCTCTAACTCTTTTCCACTCCTAAGTGTGATGGCATTAATAGATCCCTTTGGGTTAGTTTCAGGTTGCCCAGGAAACATCCCGGAAGGTCTGGAAGATGAGCTAGATTGTTGGGCCACTTGAGTGATCTGATTCTCTAACATTTTATTATGGGTGGCTAAAAAGTCAACCTTAGAAGTTAGGTTCTTGATGGCATCACTCATGATTCTATTCTGACTTCTAAATTCTTCATTTTGTTTATTCTGGGATGACACAAAATTCTCCATCAAGCTCTCTAAATTAGACTTTTGGGGACTGGGGTAAGGGAGTCTAGGGGCCTGAAAACCTAGAGGTCGAAAATTTGAGTCTGAAAACCTAGAGGTCGAAAATTTGAGTGAGGAATCAGGTTCAGGGGTGGATTTTTATAGGATAAATTAGGATGATTTCTCCACCCCGGGTTGTATGTATTGGAAAAAGGGTCCCCTTTCTGATTAAAATTATTCATATAATTAACATATTCAGATAATGGTGCATCAGGGGAAGGGGAGTTTCCAATCTGACATTCCACAGTAGAATGTCCAATGATACCACATATTTCACAGTTAGTAGAGTTAGATGCTACTGAATTCATGCTCATCTTATCAAAATTTTGAAATAAAGCATCTACTCTAGAAGCAATGTGGTCTAATGCATCTACATCATACCTCCCGCTATTTTTGGGTAAAGAGCGCTCACCTGACCACTGGAAATGATTCTGTGCCATATCCTCTATGAGTTGTTTTGCATCTCGTACACTTTTGTTCATCAATGCACCACCCGCTGCAGCATCCATGGTCATCCTTGTGTTGTAGAGAAGACTGATGTAGAAAGTTTGAATTATGAGCCAATCCTCCAACCCGTGATGTGGACACATCCTTAGAAGATAATTGTACCTCTCCCATGCATCATACAATGACTCCCCTTCTTTTTGAGTGAAGGTTGTTATCTGATTTCTCAATTGGACTGTTTTGCTCGGAGGGAAGTACTTAGCAAGGAACGCTTCTGAGAGTTGGTCCCATGTAGTGATGGAGCCCGGTGGAAAGTGATTGCAGTCAAGCCCTTGCCTTGTCTCTTAGTGAGAAGGGAAACAACCTTAGCTTGATTGCATCATCCGACACTCCATTCATCTTCAATGTGTCACAATACTCCAGAAAGATTGAGATGTGGAGGTTTGGGTCTTCGGTTGGAGTGCCTCCAAATTGGTTTTGCTAAACCATGGAGAGGAGTGAAGGCTTGAGTTCAAAATTGTTGGCAGCAACATTAGGCTTCAAGATGCTAGATTGGGATCTATGGGTGGTTGGTGATGCAAACTCCTTCAAGGATCGGTCTTGATTGCATTGGTTTTCTTGGTCTCCCAAATAAAAAAAAATAAAAATAGAATAAATGAAAGAAAATGTCTAGTCTAGTCAAACAATGAAAAAGTCAATATTAACAATGCCGAAGTCCCTGACAACGGCGCCAAAAACTTGTTCACTCAAATTCGCAAGTGCACGGATATCGTTGTAGCGATGCAAGGTCGTATCCTCAGGGACTTCGTTGTTAATTACTGATTTTCACTATTTTGTAACTATCTAAACCAATTGTGTTAAAAAGTATGATTTTTGATTATCAATAACGAACACGCTAGCTAGTATCAACGACGAATTCACTCAATTAAAAGAATCTAGGATTGAACTTCGGTTTCAACTCTGGTTTGAATCAACGAATTAATCAATTGTTATCGAATCTCTCAATGCATTAAGAACGACTAACCTATGATAACTATTAGTCTCTTTCGACGACTAAAAGTCGTGCTTAATTCAGCCTAACAATCTATTTTCATAGTGTTAAACCAAATTAAACCCATTAAGCTCTTGTTAATCCCTCATGTTCTCAAGAATAATTAACCTACTTTCGTGATCAATTAATTCTTGTTCAATTACTATTTTCCGGCGTCATCTAACCTTTCAGTTCAAATCAACATCCTAAAAGAATTAAATCAGTGGCCAATTGAATTAACCCTAGGCAATTAGATACTAGTAACTGAATAATGCAAATCGAACAATCAATAACAACAACAATCAGTTCATTAATTCATAACCATGGCCGAACCTAGTTCAATCCCAGATAAGACAATTACTCACACATAATTGAAATAGAAAACATGATAACAATATATAAGATCATAATCATAAACTGGAAATTGAGATAGATCAGAAAGATAAACCGTAGTGTTGAAGTTGCACACAATTCTCCACAAACAGCAGGTTCCAAAGCAAAAGAAAAACCTAATCTAAGAGTTTTTGTAGAGAGAAGAAGAGAAGAAGAAGAAAGAAATATCCAGATCTCCAGCCTCCAGTTCCTCTTGATGCCTCCCCCACGTCCTCTTTTAAGTTCTGGAGAAACATGTGTTAACAGATAGCTTCAAATCTCGCTCAAAATCGCGTAGTAACTGACTGCTGTCATCCAACACGGCTGTGTAGATCGACATGACCAGGCCATGTTTAATTCTGTTTCGCTCTGCTTTTTGGGCTTTTCTTCTGTAATCAACACGCCCGTGTTGTTGAACACTGGGTGACCGTGTAGCCTCTTTTCATGCATTCCTTAACTCCTTCTTGACTCCGAATCCACGCTAAACTCCAGTAATTCCTACACAATATATAAATAGAGCAGTAAACAAGAACTAGGGAGCTTAACAGGGCAAAAGTACAAGGAAATACATCAAATAACAATAAATCCATAGGTGAAACATAGTCAAATTATAGAGAATATTTGTGTTTATCATTATTTCTAATATAAGCGTTAGTTCTAGTAGTATGTTAGTTCTAGTCGAGCCCCTGTTAGTTCTTATAGTTCTCGTGTTAGTTCTAGCTGATTTCATGTTTGTTCTATTTCCAACTAGTGTTGGTTCTAATATAAGCGTTAGTTCTAGTGGTTATGTTAGTTCTAGTTGAGCCTTTGTTAGTTCTGGTGGTTCTCATGTTAGTTCTACCTGATTTCATATTGGTTCTTCTTCCAGCTAGTGTTGGTTCTAATATAAGCGTTAGTTCTAGTGGTATTAGTTCTAGTTGAGCTCATATTAGTTCTGGTGGTTCTCTTGTTAGTTCTAACTGATTTTATATTAGTTCTAACTTTCAGCTATTGTTTTTTCTAATATAAGTGTTAGTTCTAGTGGTATGTTAGTTCTAGTTGAGCCTTTGTTAGTTCTAGTGGTTCTCGTGTTAGTTGTAGCTAATTTCATGTTAGTTTTACTTCCAACTAGTGTTATTTCTAATATTAGTTCTAGTGAGTTAAGTTAGAACTAACATGAAGTGAGTTAGAATCAACATAAAATGAGTTAGAACTAACAAAGAGCCCAAGAGCCCTATAAGGCCAAGGCCTAATAAAAAACCTTTAAATATATATTGTAGCTGTAGGGGGTTTGAACTCCTGACCTCCTCTCCAAATTACCAAGCTTTACCACTAGACCAAGTAGCCAAAGTATTAATGTTAGTTCCACTTAAAGTTAGTTCTTACTCGCCATTAGAACTAACATAAAATAAATTAGAAATAACATGAAAAAAGTTAGAACTAACATGAGTTATTGCTCATGATAGAGTTTAAAAAAGGACGAAAAATTTCCCTCTATTTTTTCAGTCAGATCACATTAATGGGACGTGATTTTCCATGTTTTTGGCCAAAGGCGTATGAGGAAGATAAGTGGAGGAGCAATATCGGATTTTTTCTAAAATACAATCTCTTTTTTTGTACTGCTGACGTAGAGGGCCCTTAAAACATTAAATGCTACTTTTTGGAGCTGAATCACATGGGCCAAAATACAAGGAGCTGGGTCACATGGAGTTCCTACTTTTGGGGCCTCGACATAATTTTCCTTAAAATAATTATAAAGTAAACTAAATATAAATAAACAAATATTAATACAAATAACAATAACTAAAAGAAGAAAAAGAAATGACAATCCCATTGATTGGCTGCGATCCAAACTGGTTTCAGCCAAGGCTGACCGGCCTTGAACTATGCGGGATGTAGGGGCGACTGAGTCCACGGCCAGACTCGGGGCCACGATTTCTGACCCCACCTACACTGACCCGATCGGATTCGAGTC